GGAGCCCAGTCTAGTCAAGACCAGATGGCAGGCGGGCTTGGGCTGCCCAGCTGACCTCAGGTCTGCCGCCCTCTGATGGGCTGTGGGGACACCAATCCTGGAAGGTCCCTAGAGCGGGCTCGGCAGCATATCTGGGCTGCAGCCATGCTGACATGGGAAGTATTTTTACCGCTATTTCTGAGACAAGCAAGCCAAGGCTCAGGTTAAGCTAAGGGCAAGTGTGGCTGGTCCGGAGCCCCGAACCTGTGCTTCCCGAGAAGGGGCCAGGGAGACTGGGTTCTGTGTTCTCTGCAGGCCCCATCCCTGAGCACGCCCCGGCACAGAGACAAGTCAGACACATGCCCTGCCCGGAGCTTACCAGCTTCTGCAGAGGGGGCGGTGACAGAAGACAGAGGTACTTCTGGGGTTTTCCGGCAACCACCAGGCACCATCAGCCAACCCTAAACTCAGGGACAGTCTCAAGGTCAAGACACACTCAAGGCATTTAAGACAGGCTGAGCTGTTCTAGGTTAGAGCTGAAGACAGAGCTAACCATGCACAGGACACCAGGATCCCTTCGGGGCGTTTGAATGAGTGCCCCTTTCCCGGTCTTGACAGCTGACTCTGCAAGAGTGCCCTGGCTTGGGGCCAGCAGGTGGCAGGTTAAGGTGCTGGACTTTTATACGCTCAACCATGGTTTGAGTCCAAGACCTGGTGGCTAGAAAAATCACACCTGTGTGCATGTGTGCCGAGATCGCAGGAGCAGAATGGAGAAGGGTCATGGCCATCCCCCAGGGGGATGACTTCTCACCTTCTCTCTCACTATCTCTCCCTGGAGAGTGCACACACCCTACGATAAAAATGAAAAAGTGCAGGGGCCAGCAGTTAGCGTAATGGCTATGTTGCTGGACTCCCATGTAGTCGACTGCGGTTCGAGTCCTGGACCTGGTGTCTTAAAATCATGCTGGGCGCGTGTGTGCGCATGCCCAAGATCCTGAGAGGAGAATGGAGGAGAAGGGATTGTGGCGTGGTTATCTCCTCTGGGGGGGTGATTTTTCGCTTTCTGTCTCTCTCTGTCTTTCTGGTGAGCTCTCGCGCCCTATAACAAAAAGAAAAGGGAGGAAAAAAAAAAAGTACTCTCAAAAAAAAAAAAAAAAAGAATTCAAAAAAGAAATGAAAAAGTGCCCTGGCTCCCAGGAAGGGTGGGGTGTGAGTCAGAAACTGTCAGATGACTCGGCGCTCAGGGTAAGCGGTCAGGCAGGCAGACAGCCAGATGTTGACAGGTTGGCCCCCTGCCCCTGTGGGCCAGACACAGGGCAGCCTTCATGGAGGAAGAGGCTTGGAATTGGGGTTCCTGCCAGCCAGACCAGGAGGGCACCACTGTCTGGAAATGGCACCCCAGGAGCACAGGCAGCCCTGCCTCCTCCTTGGCCCTAAGCTGGGAAGGGCCGTGCAGCCCTGGACCCAGGTCCAGTCGGGGGACGCAGTGTTCTAAGAAGTGGGAGCCGGGGCATTGCTGCCTGCCGACAAACAGGGGACGAACAGGGCATCCCCGTGAGGAAGGGAGGCCGACCACCCAGCCCTGCACCCCAAGCTGGCCCACACCCCACCCCACCTGCACCCATCCCAACCCTGGGTCCATACTTCCTTCCGGACAGCC